TATATTTGCCGTATGGATTTGATTTATCGTAGGATAGATTTCTTTATGGAGCTGATTGTATTGATTTGATTTCAATTGACCTGATGCTTTCATTGTATAGATTTGTTTTCAATTGCTAGGTCGATTTATTGAGTTGATTCGATTGTTCGATGGATTTCCCTGCTGATAGATAATTGACTGGAAAGTGCTTTATTGATTGAGATGATTTCCCTACTGTAGCATCGTACGTCGTCATTATTGAACCTACCGTAGTGTCATTGAATATTGTATATTGATATCGAGTAAATCGTATTGAATATAACTGGATTGACTGATTTGCAAGAGTACGTTCTGACATGAGTCCCTTATTGAATTAATTGACGCTATTGATTGCTATTAATTGATACAGACATCCTATTGATTTGATTGATGATATAGATACAATGAATTGACTAGATGATACGATTGATTGGACTGATAGTATTGATTGATAGACTCTGCTATGATGAATAGATATTGACTAGAAGCACTTATTGATTTGATTGCTGGGGAATATTGATTTATCGATGTTTTTACCGCTGTATTGATAATTGACTATTGATTTCCGCACTGCATTGACTACTGATTTGATTTCCGCTGTATAGACTTGATTTCATTGACTAGGTGGTTTCTTTAACTTGTTGTTTTATTTGGGGTTTTTTTTGTATATCTTTGACATACATAGATTTTTTGTTTTGTTTTGTGATTTCTAGAAATATATGAGCAACAACTCTCAATTATGCAAACCCCCCTCCCCCGAAGAACATAAAAAATCAATAAAACTAATATAAATACTACAAAACTCTTCTAAAATGAAAAATGGAAGATGAAGACATCATAGTCATAGCCTTACTTTTTTTCTATAATAAGCATAAATGACTCATTGCTTGCTGCATAAAGTACAGGAGTAGCGGTGAATATGTTTTCATCATCATGATAAAAGATATTAGAAAATCAATCAATATATGAATACTCTAACGGACCTTAACATTAAGATCTAGTTCATGAACAAGTATAATTCATAGTTCAACTACTACTCATCTTTGTAATTATGACAATAATTAAATGGTGATACAAGAAAATATATTATTTCAAAATATTTAAATTATGATCATCGTACCTCAATGGTTAATGATTTTGCGCTAGGGCATAAATTCAAAGCCATTGACTCATGAATTTTTTGAAATTCATGGATGATGAAAACCACTCCTAATTGCGCAACTAATTCTACAAACCCAACGAAATTAATGTAAATGCCCAATTTCATTAGCCAACATTAAAACCAACAACTTAAGCATATTGATTAATCATTATTCTATTATGATTAATCAATTGATGCCAAGGACTAATGCTCCCCAAGGGAGCACTGAGATGAGATTCGAATTCGATTGTTGAATATCTAATTAGAGAAAAGATGAAGTCATTTTCCATTATAATTTTTTGGTGAAAAAGAGTAATAAGTTAAGTGTGAGCTCCTTTAACATGACATGCTTAGCTCCTCTAACATGTCATGTTATGTTCCTTATTAAGATTTTTGAACTATTGTATAGGACATTTTTTTTTGAACAAGGGATCAATATATAAGCATCAAGTTTTCCACCACTCTCATTAGAGATTTCCTTTTACTCTCTTGTGAGCATAAACAAGTCATGAAGAAAGGAGATTACTCCTATCCAAACATATTCATCCTTTTCTCATACAAAATTATTTAAGCTCATTTTCTTAACTCATTACAGTGTTCTAATATTGTGTGAACATGACTTCATCTACTATCATGAGAACTTATTTATGATTATAATTTAGTAATGGTAATAAGTTTATTTTAATGAATTTAATATTTTACTTAATTCAATTAATTTTTAATTATGAAAATGTGTAAGCTTAATTACTCTAATAAGATAAGCCCATTGAATATATACACCTACTTATTTTGATAATATTACTCAGGAAATTTATTTATGTCCGTACTACTAAGACTTAAAATTGTTATTATCCACCCATCTTAGTTTTTGATTTAACGCATTGCGTAAGGGCATGAGGGCGAAACCAAATAAAATAAGAGGTAATAAGCCACCCTATCTACTAGGTTCAATAATGGGGAGGGAGACTGAATTCAATATTTTTGTAACACGTTTCATTGAGCTCATCAGCTAAAGCAGTGGAGGCTCAATAGGGCTGAGTTTTTCAGCTAGGCTTATAAAGTCCTAACGATCGGTTTAAAAATAATATAGGCTGGATTAGGCTGCAATGATGTATTTAGTCAAAGTAGGAGTGCAATTGAGTTAGCCGGCTTATGAGTGCACTCACACTTGACTCAATAACGAGCTTATGAACCGAGCTTATCGAGCTTTGAGCTTGAGTTCAAACAGTTTTTCAAATTCGTGAAGTAATTGAGCTTGAGTTCAATGAACTGGCTGCTCGACTCGGTAGCTTGTCGAGTTGCTCGAATAACAACGGAGGCGAAATAGCGGGTTCAGGCTAAATCAATTGAGCGGGTTGTATCTAAAGAGCAGGTCAAGTTCGTATGAAGATAAACAATTCGAGGCAGGCTCTTAGTTACCTTGGATTAATTATTCTGTGAGGACGCCAGACGTCATCTAGAGGCCAACCTGAATGTGCCACGTCACCTCTGTACTCGATACCGCTGACGTGACGTATTCTGATTGGTCTCCAAACATATGATCTCCGCACAGAATAATTTTTCCCAAAGTATGGGGTTAGACAGCAGATGTGGGGTTGGGTTAATGGGCTGGGCGAATCGGGTCTGTAACGAATAGGAGAAGAATTCCAGAGAGCTCGTGTCCACTCGGGAAGGAGAGTGGTACAATCCAGCTGAGACAAATTAGCAGACTTGGCGTCGAGGTGTTGGATACTCGAGAATGGCTGCTGCTTCTGCTCAGCCATTGCTCTCCCTCCGCCCCTCCATCTTCTCTTCTAAATTTTCTGTCTTTCTTCCTCGCCCCTCATCCCTTTCATCGATCTCTTCGAAGCCCTCGACGATTGCCTCCCTCCACTCCCGCAGATCAAGATTTCCTGCCGCTGCCGCTTCTTCCTCTACTCCTCCCTTTTCTAACAGAATCTCAGAGCAGGCAGATGATGGCGCTGGCCTTGGCGGCGTAATTTCTGCTGCCATTGATTCGATCGCTCTCGTCCTGACATCGGTGGCTCTGTCCCTCTCTCTTTTATTGGTCGACGTCGACGCCGCGTCGGCCTTCGTGGTAAGTACGCCGAGAAAGCTCCAGTCAGATGAGCTCGCCACAGTTCGACTTTTCCAGGATAATACCCCCTCCGTTGTCTACATCACCAACCTTGCCGTCCGGTATGATCCTCTTCCGTTGATATTTAACTGGTCCGTCTAAGATTCCGAAATCTACTTAAGATTTAATGAGTTGTTACTACTCATTTATTCGATATTGATTCCTTGATCGAAATTGCTCTCCACACGAAGGCAATTAAGGCGCAAAACGGAAACCGAACTCATCACTTGCATCTATAATTTCTGCTGAAGTGCTTCTGTAATTTGCGCTTCTAAGACAATTAATTTGCTCTTTGTTTGAAATTCAGTTTTATTAATTCTACCGAAGCATCATCTCAGCTTAAAATCTTATTTTTCTCCCTTTGTTAGGGAGACCATTCGAGTACTGCGCTTCATCTAATTTAAGCCTTCCATGCCTTGTCGGAATTTCAGCGGCTTCTATTTGTTAATTCCTTTCTTTCTTCTTCACCGTTTGATAGGCAGGATGCATTCACCCTTGATGTGTTAGAGGTGCCGCAGGGGTCTGGCTCGGGATTTGTTTGGGACAAGCAGGGCCACATTGTCACCAATTATCATGTAATTAGGGGAGCTTCTGATCTCAGGTTAGTGGGAACTTTTTGTGTTCAGTTTTAATTGGGAATTTGATACAAATATTTTCAGTAAAAAAGAACATAAAATAGGAAATTAAACCAATTCTGCTATTGTGATGGTTGGAAGAACCGTCGATTTGAAATTTCCACTTACTAACAGCTTGAAAATATGATTTGAATATGCTTTTTACAAGTCACCTGTTTTAGCTGGACCATGTGGCATTTCAGTTTCTCAAAGCTGCAATTGTAAAAAGCATATTGTGACACGCTGCTGAATTTGACCTCTCAGCCTTAGATTGTAGTGGTAGCTGTGAAAAGCCACACACACAGCATAATCGTTGAAGCCTGGTAAACAAACTCATAGTTGAGATCTTAGTTGTCTAAACTTATTTTTTCCTTGTATTCCTTAGCGTAGATATATTATTTTCTTCATTAAAATTCTTCAAGAACTTTGTTTTAATTATGCAACTAGACTTAATTTTAGACTGCTTGAAACACAACAATCATTCGCTACTATGTTCTTATTATGTGTTTTTTTTAGATATTGGCCCAGGTTTAGGTTATGTTTGCCTTGCAAGACTCCATATCAGAATCTATAGTTATATATAGGTGTATAGTTTGATGTAATTTGGAGCAACTTGTAATAAGCCCTTCAATGAAGTAAAGCTCCTGGTTAGCTCTCTTCCTTCTCTCTTCCCTCTCTCTCTCTCATACAAGATCAAGAAGAACCTTCTTTTTCCTCATGCAAGAAATGTAACAGTTTTGCATACAAGAATATTCTTGTCAGTAAAGAGGACCAGTTTAATATTTTAGTTTTGCATGAAGATCTAATACACATACAAATAAAGAGGAGTTGATTGAAATACAAAGGTTTTTATGTTGAAAATCCGAAAAGAAAAAAGAAAAAAATCTGTCCAAATTGAAATGATTCTACCCATATATGCTACTAGTTATAAATGTTGCCTTTCCTTATAGTTAAGAAGATGTTGGTACAATATAATATACACTAATTGTAAAGGATTGATTCTAGGTAAGAGTTGAAAGAGCTTTGAGGCATTCAAGCTGTCTTCAAAAGATCTTTAGCTATCTATTTGGTTGTTTTTCTTTGAGTGGAGATCATAGACTAAGAATTCCAGCATAAATTTAGGTTTTTGATGCTGGGTTAGAGTTGGTGTCTACGATATGCATTGGTCTTAAGTGAAGGTGTGCATTAATGTTAGCTGTGATGAAGTTGGCTGAAGTCAACTTTTTTTACGATGGCATGCATCAATAATATTGTCAATGGTGGGTGACGAAGTTAGCAGATGTCGGTGTAGTTGGACATCAGTAGCCAGGATCATATAGTGGGGTGATAGTCGGGCAATAGTTGCTTGAGGACTGTAGTTAAGCGACTATGTTCATGAGACCGTTAGAGTATTGAAGTCTATGGTTGGATGGCAAAGATCAACGATGGTGATTCGACTGCAGTGGTAAAATGGCATTGGTTCCATTGTGGTGGTTGGACGACGCTGGTCAGACGATGATGTTTGGATGGCTATGGTTTGATGGTGGTGGTCCATCGGCGATGGTATGATGATGGTAGTAGTTCGATGGTGGTGGTTCATCGGTGGTAGTCGAGTGATGGCAGTCTGGTAGAGCTCTAGGATTATTTAAGCCATTGATTTTTCTTGAATCTCAAGCCAGTAGTCTCCATGTTGTAGAAAGTGTGGTGTATTTATAGTTTTTGTGAGTGACATGTCTCGTAAATATAGCCAAAATACAGAGCACTCCATCAATTTGCCTAATTAAACCACCCAAATTGATTTTTCTTATCATTCTTTGGGCATTTAAGCATCTTAATGATATTAGAATTAAGCGATCTTGAGCTCCTTGAGTGCGTCTCATCGAGGCGCTCAATTTGACTATAAGCGTACAAGATTTGGAAATCGTTTGGTCTCTAATTAGTATCCCAAAGTTTGCAATTATATTTCAAATGCTTGATCTAGGATAACTTGAACTCGGATTGAATTACTTTTGGTGTCAATGGGTTCGTCTTGTCAGAATGTCCAATTTAACTATAGGTTTGCTGGAATTGGACTTTAGATGGCCCTGAATTTGATTTTGAAAGATTTCAATTTAATTATGCATCGCGTTTCATGCCTGATTAAGTTGCTTTTTGCTGAATAAACTTTTACCTATGAGTGCATGCTCCTCGTAAATAAACTTGTGTCATGTATTAAGTAGCTTACATGCAATAATCATGCCTCCAAAATATATTGGGTAACACAACTTCAGCAACAAAAGGGAGGAAGCAGATGCAGAAGAATATGAAGATGATTGGATATATTAGATAAAAGTGTGATAATTAGAATACAAGATCACTCCATAAAAGTTCTTTTCAATCCTTGCATAGAGCTAAGAATTCCTCACCCTTTTCACTAAGAAATGAAGTGAGGGGAGAATGGAATGGATTCCGGTTATATATGGAAAGAACACTGTTTGTGTACGCGCGCATGTGTGTATATATATATATATATATATATTTGTGTGTGTGGGTGTATATATATATCTTGATGATAGACAACTTGATTAACTAAGATTTGTTTGAGCATTCTCGTGCTGCATGCCAAATTGCATAAATAATATCTTCTAAGTAGGAATTAACATGAAAAAAAGTTTCTTCTAAATTAACACAAATGCAAGTATAAATAAATCTTTGTCAGTCTTGATCATCAAATAAGCAGATGGTAGATTGCGTCATTTTGATGCCTTTGAGTTCAAGTCATAGCAGCAAGCTTGACTCATGCTTCTGCTCAAGCTACAATAGTGGGCTCATATTAAGTTCGAGCACAGAGGTTCTCCTTATGAATTATTTTCTTACATGCCATTTTTAGTTTATTTAATTATTAGTATTATCTTTATTTTAAATTAGATGTAAGGATGTTTAGTAATTATTTAGGAATTAGATTTGAACTAAAATTAGCTTTGTCTTATCTTTTAACCTTATTTCTATTAGGATGGATTTTATGATTTATAAATGATTATTGTATGATGAGATGCAGTTACAAGTATTTCTTTTCCTAATTCTCTCTCCTATCTCACTCCTACAATTCTCTTTCCACTCAAGCTGATTGTTCCCTCTCCTAAACTACATCTCTCTTGATGCTCTTATAGTGTCTCGAATAATATTGCTACAATACCACAACAACACCGCTCCAATATCTCAGTTCTTTGCTGCTACACTAATGCTATATTGATTTCCTTGCACCTCTTTTCTGCTATTTACGGATGACACTTCTCACTAAAATTTAATAAGAAAAGTGTTACACCTTGAATGATAAAAACAACGAGAAAATAACGACTAGAATTGTAGGAGATGAAAACACAAATTTAAAATTATATTGTCGAAATACACATCAGAAATAGATGCCAGAACACCACAAAATACAAGTGATCCACTATTGGAGAGGTGGATCGGCTCTCCCAAACAAGCACCTTATCCTCAAGGTAGAATAATGGAAATTGCTTCTTAATCATCTCCTACAATTCCCACGTAGCTTCATAATCAGATAGATCCCTTCATCGAACTAGGACCTCCTTTGCTCCTATTGTCCCTTTCCGTATTCCAATGACCTCCATGAGGAAGATGGAGTGTGATCTCCGATAGCACGCCTTAGTTGTGATACATGGAATACTGGGTGTCTTGATGATGATGTTGGTATCAGATGATAAGCTACTTCCCCAATGCGCTCTGTCACCTTATAAGGTCCGAAGTAACGTGGTGATAGATTCTCATTCTTCCTCTTGGCTAGTGTCTTATGCTATGATGCACCGACACGGACACGGCAACACGGACACGACACGACACGGACACGGGACACGACAAATTTTAAAAATATAGGACATGGGTGCGGCGTGGACATGGCATAATATTTTTTTAATATAATATATAATAATTTTTAAAAATATAGGACACGGACACGGCGTAGATAGATGGCTCTTTTGAAACTTCACCTAATCCACCCCCACAAGCAGCAAAGCTCATTTTGCTAACAAATCAATCATACATATGAATACATCAAATTAAATTGATATGAAGTGAAATCAAAATTTCCTAATAATAAGACAACATGAATACAACAATATACCGGTCTGCCGGGGGTCAAAGGGGGCGTTGCCCCGGTACCGAGCATGTACTGAGCGGTATCGAGCATGTACTGAGCAGTACCAAGCATGTACTGAGCGGTACCGAGCATGTACCTAGCGATACCGAGCATGTACATAGTGATACCTCATTTAATAACCGGACACGCGTGTCCGATTTTAATTTTAATTTTTTAAATTGCGACACTCCAATGCCGTGTCGGTGTCCGACGCGTGTCCGTGTCCGACACGTGTATGACACTGCATACCCTCTTTAAGTGCCGTGTCGGTGCATCATATGCAGGGTCTTAAAGAAATTTCAAATAAACTCTATCCTCGGGGTCGAACTACACTTCCCATCTGTGTTCATTTGCCTTCTTTTTCATAGGTTGTTGAGCTCTCAATAGATGCCCTTTGAGTTCTGCTATTATTCTGTCTCTCTCCTTCAAGTACTAATTTACAATGGATATTGGTGTAGTGCTCTTCCCATAATGTATCAAATGAGGTGGATCCCTCCCATACATAATTCTGAAAGAGGTAGTATGTGTGGAAATATGTATTATATCAATATTCTGCCGATGCTAATAATTTGGCCCATAGTTTTGGTGTGTCAGATACAAAACAAGGCAAGTATGTCTCTACGGTCATGTTGACCACTTCCATTTGGCCATCCGTCTGTGGGTGATATGCTGTGTTTCTTTTCAGGATAGTCCCTTGTATTTTGAATAATTCCTTTAAAAAGTGGTTGCGAAACACCTTGTCTATATCTAATCCTATAAATTCAGGAATGCCATATAAGCACACTACCTCTCGAATAAGGACCGTGGCATATATATAATGTATCAGTGGTAAAAGAAAAGATATAAGAATATTTTTACCGTGAATTACTATTTCATTGGTTTTACTTGCTCTGTCGTTTCTTCCGCCCGGCAGCTCCTGCATCACATCAGTTATTCTCATCTTTGTTTTGCTTGGACTTGATTCAGTGCTTTTAACTGTCAGTTTGCCCATGAGGGAATCCCCTTTATTATGATCAACAAGTTGACAAAATCATTGTTGTTAGCAGAAGCTCCGTCGTTAAATAATTGTGGGTTGACTGCATGGTTCCTCAGCCATAATTAATTATTAAGACCTACATTTATAGTTAGACCCCTCTAATAATTTCATAATTTCTTTTTTTTTTTTGAGTCTGGGAATTAATTCATGCACATCATTCGTACGATTATTATATAACTACATATAAACCTCGGAAAACAAAGGCCCTTCCAAGGGGCAAAAACAAGTTTTGTTAGGGATATGCTTGCTAGTAATGTTTTATATCTATGCTTTTAGTATTAGATACGCCATTTTACTTAAATGACACTGTTTTCCATAGACAAAGCACTTTTAGGTTTCTTTTGGGATAGCTTTCGTACTGCTTTTTAAAATGGCTTTATAGTACAAAAATTTCAAATTCAAGAAATTTTTGTACTAAAAAGCTGTTTTAGAAAGCAAAAGAAAAAGCCGTCCCAAACGAAGCCTTAATCTTACTTGATAATGTGCATGATAATTATTTAGTGCTTGGGTTTTATGTAGCTTGATTAGATTGAATGTTATCTTCGTTTGCTGTTGTTCTATGCCGTTAAAATTTGATTATCTTGTTGTATGTATACAGGGTCACCCTTGCTGATCAATCAACATATGAAGCAAAAGTTGTGGGATTTGACCAAGATAAGGATGTTGCAGTGTTGCGTATTGAGGCACCAAAGGATAAGCTTAGACCCATTCCAGTGGGTGTCTCTGCTGATCTGTTAGTGGGTCAGAAAGTTTATGCTATTGGAAATCCTGTGAGTTGAGAATTTTAGCTGAGCCATATCATCTTCATGATATGTACTGTATTGGATTTAGAGCATCAGGTTTGCAACTTAAAGTTTGCTTCAATAAATTTATGATAACTTAGACTTTATTTGGGACGGCTTTCTTACTGCTTCTTAAAGCAGCTTTCTAATATAAAAAAAATAATTTTTGTACTAAATAACTGCTTTAAGAAGCAATAAGAAAGCCTTCCCAAATGAAGCCTTAGAATTTGTAGGCCATATCACTGGAAATGCAGCTGCGCAATTGTCATTTCTGTTTCTTCTTGGTATCTTATGATACGAAGAAAATCAAACCAATTTAAACATTTTCTTCTCACAATTTACTTAATTTACAAGGTTTCTTGAACTAGTTCTGGTTCCTTGTTTCATCAGCTATGTCAAGGCTGCAATGAACCTTTTGTGAATTTCCTGCTGTACTCTTGTCCAATATCTCTACATAACATTTCTTGAATTTCATGTTCCCGATAAAATTTTCAAGCTAGGGGGTTCTAGAACTTCAACCAGTTTCATGTACGATTGTCCTCATGAATTTAGTATGGATGTTACTCATATATCTGTGCTGTTCACCCCAATATAGTTTTTGATTACTGGTTCATATCTACTTTTACTTATTTTTTGCAGTTTGGACTCGACCACACTCTTACTACAGGTGTAATCAGGTAGTCCCCCCTCTCTCCATTCGACAGCAAAGTGTTTGGAAGCAAGTCACCATTTCAATATAATTAAGGCCTGAATCGAGACAAATTCGGCAAACATGGTTCAGATTTGTTTCACAAATCTGATTTTTTCCCATCATCTCTGGGAGTATATTCGCAAAATTGCATGCATATCATTTATTTTTTGTTGGAAAGTTTTGTAACACTCAAATCTTGTCTATTTGGAAAGCTGATTCACAACTACTTTCATTAATAATAATACCATACAAATGTAAATGATCTCAACAAAATTAGAACTCATTTTTTTTCTTTTTTTAAATTATCAATGATTTGATCATGGAGCATACAAATATATGATATTAATTTTGTGTGGAATCTGATTGTGATGATAAATTGGGTTGTATCGTGGCCTTGGACCTCAATTCCATCAATCAAGCTCGCTAGGGGGTTGCAGGGGGTCCTTCCACTGCTTGGGTTCGGATGCTTTGCGCCTGAAAAATTTTTCCCCAAACAATCATATAGCATTGTGGCGGTGTGTATTTGAGTGTTGCGGCGTTGTATTTTCTGGTTGGAGGTGGACAAAGAGTGGAAAGTTGTGACGCTCCAAACACTTGTATTGCATCCCTACAAACCTTGGCGTTGCGGTGCTATTATGCATATTGGAGACAGAGTGGAGGACCGTGGTGTTCCAAACTTGGAGCTGCGAGGTGGGCTGGGCAGTTTTCTTTCTTCTTTTTCATGAAGGGTTACATCCCTCGGTGGTTTTAATTAGTTCTTGAAAGAGAATGATGAAATGGTGAAGAGAGACAAGGAGAGAGACAAGGAGAGAATGAGAGAGAAGAGAATTATGTACTATTTCTTCCAAAATTTCATAGTAAATTTCTTGGTGTGTTGTGACTCCGTAATTTTTTCTTGGTTTCGAATTTTTTCATGTTAAATCCCAGTGTTCTTTCTTTTCTACTATATTTTCTCTTTTTTGTTTGTGTGCTTTTGCTTTGTTTTACTTCCCCAACATATGAGTTTATTAGTTTTTGTTTTTTGTTTTGCATTGTGTTTGATATGTAAATAAGAAAAGATCGAGTGATTTGTATATATATATATATACACACACATTTATTTTCACAACTATTCTTAACCATTTTTATCATGCCCTTTCTTGTCACTTCTCTCCAGTGGATTGAGAAGAGAAATCAGCTCTGCCGCTACTGGGCGGCCTATACAAGATGTCATCCAGACAGATGCTGCCATTAACCCGGGCAACAGTGGTGGACCTCTGCTTGATAGCTCTGGAAATTTGATAGGCATAAACACAGCTATTTATTCTCCTTCTGGGGCATCCTCCGGCGTCGGTTTTTCTATTCCCGTTGACACAGTGCGACATCATTCTAAATTATCTGATCTTAAAACCATTAACACAGCTCATCCTAACTATAACTTCAAAAATATTTCGAATTTCAGTCCTAAATCATTCCTTGTTTACCTCTGTTTTCTCAGGTGGGTGGCATTGTTGAACAACTTGTGAAATTTGGTAAAGTTACAAGACCTATTTTAGGTATCAAATTTGCTCCAGATCAGTCAGTTGAGCAGCTTGGTGTCAGTGGTGTGCTTGTTCTTGATGCTCCTCCCAGTGGTCCTGCTGGCAAGGCGGTATAACTAACCAACCTTGAAAGTTGGAATATATTAGAATATCTGTTTCATTTGGAATGACTTTTTTATTGCTCCTTAAAACAGCTTTTTAGTACAAAAATTAAAACTTTTGTACTAAAAAACTACTTTATACAGTAGCAAAAATGCTGTCTCAAACGAAGCCTAAGGCTTTACATTATAAGATGACCGGAAATTAGCATTTTAGACTTCACTTGGGACGGCTTTCTTACTGCTTCTTAGAGAAGCTTTCTATAAAAAGTTATTTTAAGAAACGGTAAGAAAGTTGTCTCAAATGAAGTCTTAGTGCATCATATTGAGCTCCATTTTTATGACTAATCTTCTATGTATTATCTATCATTCCCACTTTCTTAGCAGTTGGGAATGATTTGATTGATAGAATTAACGATAAATAAACAAATCATTTACTTTTCCTGCCAAATACTAGACTTACAAAATTTGGATCCCTTTGGCATTTCTTCTTGGCAATTTGCAGGGCCTTCGACCAACCAAGCGAGATGAATATGGTCGCCTTGTTCTTGGAGATATCATAACTTCTGTCAACGGCAAAAAGGTTGCAAATGGTAGCGACTTGTACAGAATATTAGACCAGTGCAAAGTTGGAGAAAAGGTAAAAATAGTCTTCATTTTCCCTTCCTCGTTCAAAAAATGGATGAACAACCATCTGTTTTCTTCTTCTTGTTGTTTCTCAGGTGATTGTGGAAGTTTTGAGGGGAGATCACAAAGAGAAATTCCCTGTGATCCTTGAGCCAAAGCCTGATGAATCCTGAAACTCTTCACCATCAAGCTCTTCTTATAATACCAAGCCAGCTATAGGTTTATTACTGTATATTATGTGTATTAAAATCATCAAATATACCCTTGTAGTGTTGATAGTAATTATAATATTCTAATCTAGCTTGTTTTGTACTGTGATCACAAACTCCTTATGTGTAATTGATCTTTCATTCACTTGTAAAATATTTGAAAAATGAAATCATAAATTTTTATTTGATAAATTGATCTGCTTGGATGAGAGGGTGCTAGGGAGGAATATTCAGATAAAAAGTTGATAAAAATGATGGAGAATTTTTTCTTTAAAATAGTAAGATATTTGATTTAAATTATAGGGCATTAAAAAAAAGGCAGGATGATTATATTTGATTATTTTTTCTGAAGAGTTCTTTTAAATGTTAAAGGTTATTAAGCATTGGCAAATTTAAATATACATTAAATTGTTTAGAAGCTTATGTTTTGTTTATTAAATAATACATATTGTGAAAGTGTCAAGTGGCTTTATAATAAAATGAGTAATTTTTAAACTTTATATTTAAATGATATGATAGGTAGTTGAACTATTGTTATTTACTTTAATAGTAAGGGGTTGTTTTGTTGGTTGAAAAAAGAATATAGTGTAAAAGGAATGTGGTGTAAAAAAAATATTTTGAAGTTGTTTGAATGAATGTAAAGTAATTGAAGATGAATAATATTTTTTGTTTGTTTGGAAGTAATAAATGTATAGTAAAGTTCTAGATGGCGACGGTTGGAGGTGGGCGGCATCTGATGATAGTGGTGGTGGGCGGTGGGTGACAGCAATTGGTAGTGGGCGAGGCTGGGCGGATGAGCAGTGGAGGTGGGCAACAATGTTGGTGGATGGCGGTGGTGGAGGTTGCTGGCAGCGATGTTCACGGAAGGAGCAAGTGGTGTAAAGCATTCTCGCCTAAAATTGGAGGAGAATGTTTTACCTCGAAATTGAATTAGGATGAAATACACTATATTTACTTTTTCATCCAACCAAACACCAAAAAGTGGAAAAGCAAAGCATTGTTAATACTTTGCATTCGCTTTTCCTCCATCCAAACCGCCCCTAAGAAAGAAAAGGGCTTACTCCATAGGCCTTTGAAGAGATCTTTATGGCTTTTAAACATCTCTGCGTTATAAACTGTAGTTTTATGTTGAAGCTTTCTTATAGCCTGTTATCTTATAGGAACTAATCATACATTGCATTGGCCTTGTGGACAAGTGGTCCTAAGCATACGTTTTTGTTTTCCTTTTTTTTTTTTTGGTAAAATGAGGCCTTAGTCAATTCCTACAATTACAAAGAATAGGTACAAATGGGTAAAGACTGTGATATATGTCTCAACAAGATTGAAAGGATCCGCATCAAAAAATTTGCAATACTTAAAATAATTTAAAAATAGCAAGGAAATAAAAGTTTACAAAAAGATATTTAGGAGAGAAATTATTCTGTGTGAAGGCCGGATGCAACTCTATGTCTGAAGACTAATCAGGTGCAATCATGTCAACGGTACTGAGCGAAGGGGTGACATGACACATTATAGTTGGTCTCCATACATCGTTCGGCATCCGCACAGAAAATTTCTCCATTTAGGATGAGAACTTCTAGAACACCGTTCAGGGAGTGCGGTAACGAGAAAGTGGGAGACTAACTAACAAGATACAGATGAGAATTATCATCGTCCAAAATACTCTCAATAGCAATTATTTAACTACATATTGCTACGAAAATCTTTCTTGGCATAAGTAAATTAAAGCATCAAACAGCAATTAGCATAAATTCAGAAAAAAAAAATCCTTATTTTTTGCTTTTTTTCTGCATTACTAATTTTACTTAAGTTTTGTTTAAATGCTAATAGTTATTTATCATGAGCCTTAAACCTATTTATATTACTTGCATTAATTGAAGTTTAATTTATTTTGAAGCTTACGATGCATAGTTTATCAAGCAATACAATAGTAAAAGTGACACGTGGCTTCATAATGGTATGTGCAATTTCTAGAATTTATATTTACAATAATATGAATTATTTTTATTTGCTTTTAAAAATTATTTCATTTTGTTATGTGCTAGAAATTTTCAATCGGTGGAGTATATATTTTACACTCAGTTTTGTACAAAATTCATCACACATAGATAAAAGTAGTAACACTAGAATTTTTTTTTGAGAAAAATCCAAAAAAGAAAAAAATAAAGAATTTTTTTACAAGAATCATCTTTTATTCACCTTTGAAGGAGTTTAAACAAAAGCTTGATTTTCTCTGATGGAGATTATAGAAATTAAGTGTCAAAAAAAAAAAAAAAAAAAAAAAAAAAAAATCAACAATAGGACTTGAATTTTCCAATTATAAAAAATAAATGCCCACAAGAGGACAAATATACCCTGCAACATGGTTGGTTAGATCTTGATAGTATTATGGAGATGGTGATAATTTTTGATGCTGATCGTCAGTTGTGATCGTGATTGTCAGTGACAATCACTAGTAGTGGTCGTCAACAGTGATATCTGAAAAATGCAAGAGTGTTCTTTCTAGTTCTCACTCTCTCTGCCTCCCCTAATGTGAAGAATCAGCCCTATTTATAGGCTTTTTTGGATGAGCATTTTGATAATTTGAACCGAAATCTAAAATAATTCATCGTACAACTCATATTGATTCCATAGATCATGAAATATTTATTCAGCATTTAAGTGCCTTAATGATGTAAGAATTGCATGATCTTGAGCTCGTTGGATTCGTCTCGTTGATTTGCTCGATTCGGCTATAAGCAAGTCTAATTTGAAAATCATTTGGTCATCCAATGAATGCTCTAAAATTTTCAAATATATTTAAATCTCTTGATGTTAACCCATTTGGGATTGGATTGGTTTGATTTAGTGTCATTGGGTTTGTTATGTTGAGACGTTCAGTTTGATTACATGTTTGCTGATATTGGAGTTCAGATGGTCCCTAATTTAATTTTGAAAATTTCTAATTCAATTGTGCCTTGAGATTAATGAGAGTGCCAAAAATTTTGGTGACATGTCATATTTCATAGTGGTGTCAAAGTTTGACCTGACTTGAAAAATTTTGGGTTTGGGTCAACCAGTTTGACAGACTGGTCGGGTTCGAGTTCAATATCTTGATCTATTTTTAAAATTGGTTCGGGTTTGGGTTGACCTGAAAACCTAAATGTGATCAGAATCCTGCAACTCGTAGCCTGTCCATCACCGCATCACGCAACTCACGCCCGCATTTTACACCAGGCGCACTAAATCACGCTCGTCGCTTGCAATTCGCTAGCTTGATACTCTGGCTTGCCTCGCTCCCAGCCCCCCATGCTCAATGCTAGCCTCTTGCACCTGTAATTGCGTCGTGTGACACCCAGTGGCTAGCGCCTACCCAGTGGCTAGCGCCTACACCTGCACTCATCCATGCTCGCTCTGCGCTTGGATTGGGGAGGGTCGCATTTGGATTTATGAGCCGTTCTCATAATCGGGTCGGGTTCGGGTCAGACCAAAATAGTGACGGGTCATTTTCGGGAATGGAGTTGGGCCCGAACCCGACCCAAAAATCAGTTTTGACCTCTAATATTTCAGAATATTTATGACATTCTCCAACATTAAAAAAAAAACAGAGAGATTTTTTTTGATGTGTTTTTAGGGCAAATATTTACAACAAATATTTTTACACAAAAAAGCCATTGGTAAAATCTATACGGCATTTCAAAGATAAATAGAGATTAAATATTTATGAAAAGTTGGTACAAAGATGAATTGTATTCAAGCAATCAGAAGTTTGACATATGATGCCTCTTGGGCAATATGGTGAAAATTTTATCATTGTAGGCTACTATTTTGATCTTTTTCAGAGCCCTTAGCAAACATAGTAGAAGCAAACTACTGAAAGGGTTGATTATATTTCTAGATAGCATAAATTATCATATTTCAAAGATAATAATATGAAATAATACATCAAAGCTGATGATAATTCCAGATGGCATATAGTCATCCTCAAAAAATGACAATATGTATGGCACATGTTGTACTGTGATATTTGAATAACTTTTGATATTTATACGATTATTCTATACAACATGTTTAATGGGATTATGGTGAATGTATGACAATCATTAATGAGAGTATGGATGATGATGGGTAACATTGTCGTAGTCCTCATATGTGATGCTTATGATGTAGTTGTTATGATGATAACATGATCATGAATGAGACGAAAACAAGTAACATTCAATCTTTAAATGATTGTGTGAGATACTATTGATGTTGTATGTGACATATCTAAATGATCTGTTGATGGGAACATGATAAGTACAGTTAGATATTGAAACATTTTATCAACATAAAATATTTAGGGTTTATTAATTTAAGGGTAATGATTATATTTGAAAATAAAAATTTGCCCGATTATTACTTCAATTTTAATCAACTTTAAATCGGTCTTGATATATTTCTACTAAAATAAGATTGCTCGAAATGAAGTCGATTCAACTCACAAATGATCAAGATGAAATTTTTAATACGTGTAAGGTGCAATTTTGCAGTTTTTTTATTGTTCTTATTTGTTGAGCATAATTTTTTGTTGTTGTTTCTAAGAACTTCATTTGAGTCGAGTACCCATTTTTAATGAGAATCTATCTATATTTTTATTAAAATGTTTTTTTTTTCTTTCGTGAGAAGTTTTAGGGCACTTATTAACAATCCATTATTATCTTAAACTTCTCATTAGGGTTTATTTGCATTACATTAGCATATTTAATATGCCGCATCATAAAAATCAATGCCACAAATTCGTTGGTGGCATTTGATGTTTTGATGGGCCAATATAATTAAAATTTTGGATAAAGTTTAACAATTTTTTAATGAATTTGATAAAAGTAGGAAAAAATATACTTATTTTTATTATTGATCAATACTTATTCGTGGGATGAGTATTTTGATACAAAAAAATAGTGAAATGATAAAATCCCAAGGAATATTTTGAAATAAATTACACAATAGAGCATACATCAATTGATGCATTGTTCGTGGCGAGAAAAAAATCTTGTGGCCAAACTAGCGGTGGCGATAAGATGTTGCCACTATACCCTCTATAAACATGCCGTCTCCATATATGAAGTGACAACAACCGAATTGACTGGGTGAGCTATTCACTTGGAGTCAATTCATTCATAATTGTAGGAGTTGCCATTCGATTGATTCGAATATTTGCGAACTATTTACTACATATCATATTTCGCCTATGGGTTAACACATCTTTCTGAACTTATATGATCATCATTTCAATTTATGAGTAACAATTTAACCTCTTAATTGCCTTGAGTTCAATACTTTCCTTTTATAAGAAAATATTAAACACAATATAATTTTTTTATTCCAATAATAGTTAGCCTTGAGGATATATAAAACATAGCTCAAAATACACAAAATTACTAAAATTTCCTTGATGATATATAATACATGAAGCTTTGAAGTTGGAAAATCAACACCATAATAATGGTTTTAAGCCTCCCATGTCTCAAAATCACCATTGACAAAATCATAGTACCCACCATACAAAGCTAGGGTCTTCTTCTCGAGGCCTTCCTTAACATAAGAGTAGGTCTTCAGATTCTCAAGAGAAACTTTCACAGCTTCCTGCAAGTATTTAAAGGCCGATAAATTTGAGAATTAATAAGGAAACTAAGTTATGCATTGTCAAAATAATTCAAAAGTTATGTCATATAATACTGTTTGATTTATTGTTATTCGAAATACATTATCGACCGTTTAGCTCTCAATATTTATTTGCAGCCATGTTAATTATTTTATTTTCAAGTTTGGCCTATAAAAATAATAAATTTTATTAGTAGATCATTATTAAGATCCAACTTGAGCTCTAGTGATTGAATCTATAGTCAACTAAGCTAATCTATTAAAATAAGATTATTGTAGTTGGCTAATATATTATTAAAAGGTATAGATTATGATTATATTTAATAAAATTGAATAATTAGTTGATACACTAATAAATAATTAGTTTCTAGCTTAGGAAAATGTGTCAGCTAGAGCAACAAAATAAATTTAGGTCTAGTTTGGGAGCGTTTTTAGTCATTCTCTTCTTTAAAAAAAAATTTGTGCTAAAAATCTGTAGTAAAAAGTAGTAAGAAAATTATATTATTTGTGATAACTTTTTTATTGTTTTTTAAAGCAGTTTTTTAGTACAAAAAATTCTAATTGAAAAAAATTATCCCAAACGAAGCCTTGATCATACCTTCTCGCACTTTGAGCACTGTTCTTCAAAGGAGAGATCACCATGAGCTTGCTTCACTCTTTCTTTTGCCGGAGTGCAGATTTTGACCCAATCCTCTATAAAGTCACTGTGCATGAAAATTATTTAACTAATTAATAATATGACATATTTATGTCATTCGAATTATGCTTAAAGACATTATTTGAAGCATATTTCTTCAGAGGATTTCACAATTGAACAATAATAATCTTATTCTTCCTATGTGCATTATTGTTTCTCATTAATTAAATGGTAAAAATGGCCAAAAAAATTTAACCAAATTTCAAACCCTTTAGAAAGGATTATGGACTATTATTATAAAGAAAAAAAATTATATTAGAATAGTAATATATATTGCACAACTCTCAAAGCAATTCAATAAATTTTAAATTCATTGTAATATCCATTATATATGTATATTCTAACACAATTCTTTTATATTAAACCTTTTCTTTTAAATATAGGTTTGAAATTTCACCAAAATGCCAATGAAGATGGTGCCAAAATATGTTTGATTCGGGTCCGATTTGAAATTGACTCGACTCAATCCAACCAACCCAAACTCAATCCGCTAGCAATATGAACCCAACTCGATAACGGTTTAAATTAAACAATTTATTTTTATTAACTTGTTAATTATAGATTTTAAGTTTATTGATAAAAAATGAGAAAAATATACCAACAAATAAAATAATTAAAAAAATATTAAACTAAGTATTTTTTGGGTTAGAATTAGGTTGGCGGGTCAAGCCGAACAAAATCCTGTTTATTAAACAGATAGGAATACATGATTTGAACCCGAATAGATTATTAAAGAGGTAAACCCGAACCTAATTTTTTTAGTCCAATCTGAGTCGAATCATTTATTGACACCCCTTATAATTGTATCAATTTTACCATTTTAAGCTTATATATATTTAACTTACGTGCCAGTGGTACCATCATCTTTGATAGAGAGGAGCGCTTTGATGCCTCCACAACGACTGTGACCCATAACAATAATGTTCTCTACCTGTCATATAAATTTCTCTCGTTAAAATATTTTAGGAATTAAAAAATTAGCAATACAATCATACATTTTTTTTCTTTTAAAAACAAATCTAATTTATGGTTCATTTGAGATGACTGTAGTTTGTTATAAAAATAATTCTAGAGCTACGGTGGAGAAAATAATTTTTTTAAAAATTGTCAAAAAAAAAACAACTTCCTAGCATAAAAATTTATTGAAAGACAAACATTAATGATCAAACAAAAACTATGATAAAGATTTGAAAAATAAAACAATAAAAAAAAATATCCCAAATAAAGTTTTAGTTAAATTTTTTTAGAGATTTTATAAGCTGAAGATAAGTTGATGCCAATTGCTAATTAATTGCTATAATATCATGATATGACCCCAATCAACATTTTTTTTTTTCCGGAAAATTAGGGGCAAAACCCAATCCAACCAACTATTAGCGATGACCTTCAGAAGGCTATTAGTCAAAAAAGCAGTTTTGAATTCAATAAAGTCAAGTACAGCACATCGTTCATTACGGCGCTCATTGTGATAAGCTTTATGCATCCAACAAAGTCAAATTTCATGTAATAATATATGCTTTAAAAGAGGAATGATATATATATAGTTTAACGGCTTAGCATTGTATGAAAATTCAGCATACAAGCAGATAAGAGAGAGAGAGAGAGAGAGTGTGTGTGTGTAGCGGTCATAAGAGACATCAAAGCTTTTATGTGGAAACCCCTGAAAAGGGGAAAAACCAAGGGGTCTGGCCTATTTTGAATGAATACACTAATATTTGCAGTCGATTACAAATGAGGTCCTTCCTCGGGAGAAGGCCTTGGTTTGATGGTACAAATGTACATCATATAGAGCGCATTACATGTTGGGAGTTACAATAATCAACATTGGCATGTTTGTTTGATTGGAAGGGTCATAGTCGGCACGAGACAGGGGTCCGAAAGACCGTTGTCTGGTGATGGAGGTCGAAAGGACCATAGTGGGCGGCGGAGGTCGGAAGGATCGTAGTCGGCAGGAGACAGGGGTCAGAAAGACCGTTGTCTGGTGATGGAGGTCGGAAAGACCATAGTAGACGGGAGGTCGGAAGGACTGTAGTCGGTAGGAGATAGGGGTCAGAAAGACCATTGTCTGGTGATGGAGGCCGGAAGGATCATAGTAGGCGACGGAGGTAGGATAGACTGTAGTCGGCAGGAGACTGGGGTCAGAAAGACCATGGTAGAAGGGTGGTACTTCGGGAGAACTATCGACGTCTAGTGGTGGCTTGAAAGAAGTCCATGCCTCAAGTGGTGGTCCGGCGGAGCAACGACGTTAAGCGGTGGTCCGGCAAAGATAAGGGCCTCAAGTGGTGGTTCGGCGGAGCAACAACGTCAGGCGGTTATCCAGCGGAGCAACGACATCAGGCGGTGGTCCGGTGGAGGTGAGGGCCTCAAGTGGTGGTCCGGCGGAGCAACAGTCTCAAGTGGAGGTCCGGTGGAGTTGAGGGCCTCAAGTGGTGGTCCGGCAAAGCAACGATGTAAAGCGGTGGTCTGGTGGAGGTGAGGGCCTCAAGTGGTGGTCCGGCAGAGCAACGATGTCAAGCGGTGGTCCGGCGGAGGTGAGGGCCTCAAGTGATGGTCCGGCGGAGCAACGATGTCAGACGGTGGCCCGGCGGAAATGAGGGCCTCAAGTGGTGGTCCAACGGAGCAACGACGTCAGGCGGTGGTCGGAGGTGAGGGCCTCAAGTGGTGGTCCGACGGAGCAACGACGTCAGGCAGTGGTCTAGCGGAGGTGAGGGCCTCAAATGGTGGTTCGGGGAGCAACGACGTCAAGCGGTGGTCCGGAGGAGATGAGGGCCTCAAGTGGTGGTTTGGCGAAAGTCCGGTGGTGGTCGACGAGGAGCTTCTTCATTCTCTTCATTCTCTTCTTCCTTCTTCTCTTCTTACTCCGGTCCCCTTTCAAGAGAAATGAGGGATCTATTTATATATTTATGGAGTGGCATGACTTGTAAATAGGTGAGAGATCAAGGGTAAATGGGGAGTGGTTGGATGGACAGCCGATGTTGAATCCCTTGATTATGGACTGTTCGTCAGACAATTGAAGGTCTTAGTGATGTCAAAATTTGGTGATCTTGGGCTCGTTAGATTCAACTCGTCGAGCCGCTCGATTCGACTATACTCACGTCATGTTTGGAAACCGTTTGCTAACCCAAATTGTCTTTCGAACTTTCTAACAGCACTTCGGGTCCTTTATTTGGACCCGTTTGTGCTCGTATTGGGTCGAATTTGCTGTCGTTGAGTTCGTATTTCCGAGATGTTCAATTTGACTATAAGTTTGCTGAAATCAGAGTTTGGATGATCCCAATTTTAATTTCGGGAATTTCCAACTTGATTTTGCATCGAGATTCATGCCCGATCAACATAATTTTTCGATGACGCATCAACTACAATTCTTCTTAATTTTATGTTTTCACATTCAATAATTGTCATAATGTTTTATCTTATAATTGAGAAACATTAATATCAAAATATTTTGATGTCAATGATATCAGGACGAGCATCAAAATTTTTAATATATATATTAAATTGACAAATTCAATAAAAATATATGTTAATTTTTTGAACGTTACCTTGAGATGAACAACTGGGTACTCAATGGCAGCACCAATGCCAGAATATCTTTTCTGCAGAGAAAAAACAAAGACAACTTTGAAATATTACAAATCCCAAATAAGCAAGAGTAGCAATGTTATGATGCTCTACCTATAGCTAAAACAAAACAAAAAAAAATCTTAATACATTGTCATTAAGGAATAAACAGAGAGAACTTAAGCTTAATGATTTGTTGTAATTATTTTTGCACCTAATTTCTTAGTTCAAATAAATACGTTAGCTTAAGATTTCTTTTGAGACAATTTTTTTTTTAAAATAATTTTAATTTAAAAAACAGTAAGAAAGCTGTTACAAATAAAATTTAAATAAGAACGAAATTGACAACATACCTTATCATAAGATGGGACCATATTAGCGATGTTGCGGATGGTAAAAGCCTCTCCGGGTTGAAAGTTAAACAGGACCGACGGGCACACGCGCGAATCCGAACAGGCAAATACTAGAAACTGTGCGAAGGAAAATTTAAATTTATAAGGTTAAAATAATAAATTTATTAATAATATCATAATTTAATAATATTACAGTCAATATAGACTGGTATTATATCTATGCATGTGCCTGTTTAGTTGGAGAATAATTTAATTTTGTCCTTAATAGACTTTATCTTGAGAAGTTGGATTTCCATTGCTGAATTTTGATTTTATTATTCTTTATGGAGAGAATCATTGAAGTTGAAAAGCCTTACTTTTGGGCTCTGGCCCTCGGCAAGCTGGCTAAACACCTCGGGCTCCTTCCTGCCATAAGAGTTAAACGAAAGAAATCTTTTTAATGTAAGCAAATCAGATTTCTTAGTTAAAAACAAGTTAATCCACGTCATTATACTAACTAATTATTAAAATTGATATACTTGATAATATTCAAATTTCATTTATTTGAGATAGTTTTCTATTTGGCTATTATTTTTTCGTTGCTTTCAAAAATTTTTATAACAGGAAGCTATTTTTATTGTAACTTTCAAAAAAGCTAATTTTCTCACAATTTTTTTTTTTTGAGGCATTTAGGTCAATTAAGACAATCTCACACACATCACATACATAAAGCTTGAACTCAAAACTTCTTAACCGATAGCAAAAATAGTCAACCAACAGACTAAGATGAGTTATGTCTCAAAACAATTGTATAATTATTTCTTTATAAAAAATTGCAGTCATCATAAATGCGATTAATTATTCTGTGCGTACGCCGAATGCATATCGAAGACCAACCAGAATACAGAACGTCACATATGTGCTCGGTATAACGGCTCGATACTGGTCAGTACCGCGCGCTCATAGGAGACCAATCATAATACGCCACGTCACCCCTGTGCTCGATACAACGACTCGATACAAGTTAGTATCGCTGACGTGACACATTCTAAATTGTCTCCTAACAATGTTCTGCATCCGATCTCTACTTGAGGACCCCCTAATTTCTTTAACACAGCCAAAATATAAGATTAAAAGGACAAGAAAAAAGGATCACATTAGACGAATATTCTTGGTTTCTGCTACTTCAATTCTTCGATATTCCAAAACGTCAGAAAAGTATCAGTAAATTAATATCTATGAAAGAAATCGATCACATAATAAGAAGCAGCAGCTTCTCGATTTTTTCTTTTTTGCCTTTGTAGAAACTATAAAAATTATTTCTTTTGAAATCCATGATTGAATTCCTTGTAAACAGTGATGACAGAGAAATAAGTAAGGGAGTTTATTAACGCACTCGTAGACTTCCTTCTTAAACCGCTCGAACCCGGATTTCAATCGCTGGGCCGACTCCATTTCCTGCAATCAGTAATGATTTCAAATAAATTCAAAGAGAAGAAAAATACAAACTTTAACAGGAAGATGAGATCCAAAGCTCAGAACATCAGAGATCATATTAAAGAGATCGAGCAGCAAAGGAAATAAATCAGAAAGAAATGAAAACGAATAGAAAGTATATAATATGAAAGATTAAATGAAAGGCGAAATTACTCTAACTTCTCGGTTTCGGTCGGCTCTTTCAGTCCTTTGATTCTCTGGAGAAGACTGATGTGAAGAATGGGAAGAAGAGGGTTGATTTTAATTTCTTGCGCGTGGACTGTGTTACTGCGTCGTTATATAACGAGAAGGGGAACGGGAGAGAGAGAGAGATACGCGTCGCTGAAGCCTGGTCTTTGGGCCCAGCGGCGGTGGCGTTCAAGCTTGGACGTAGGCTTCAACTGGGCCGCGAAGCGTGTCTCGCACGGAAGAAATTGCTACCTTATATTCAAACCAGGATTTTTTATAGGAAAAACTATTATAAAACAGAGCTAAAAAAGTTTTATCAAAATATTCCTGATTTTTTTTTGAACGGAGTATCTCCCTGCTATCAATTCAAAGAGAGTATTTGGCGGCATAAATAATTCCTCGGCGGAATCTAACAAGGCCGCACTTGCTTTGCCTCACTGAAGAGCGAAGCGAGGCCGTAATTCCTTAGTAGAGGGGATTCAAATCCGAGATGGGTGATTCCCAACCGTGCTCGACCACCAACCACCCTACATCTCGGTGGATATATTCCTGAAATTTGAATAGATGTTCGATATTATTATATAAATGATATTTTGAGGAAGAAAATGATCTTTTTTTCTTATGACTCGACGTTCATGGATGTTAGCTCTGAGGTAAAATTTCAGGGGAACTTCTTCTCTGTTTTCAAGTAGTTGATAATTGTTATTGAAGGTTAGTAATGCTATGATTTTGGCAAAGTTTCTTTGGTCATCTTCTGCGTTTGCTTTATGAATCATAATCTTAGAAGGGAATGAGGCATAAGAGTGCTATCTTTGAACAATATTAAGCTATATAAATAATAAATTAATCTAATGAAAAACATAAGTAAATATTATAAATGCCCTCAGATGCATGGGATGACACTTTAAAAGGAGGCAACTTGCAGATTCACATGAAGCAAGCTAACTTTTTTTTTTCTGAAGTAATAGTCTGTTTTTTTTTTCCCTGAAAATTTTCATCCTACTAGAATTCACATAAAAATAAATTTTATTTTCTTAATTTTTTACTGAGATTAGTGTAATTTTTAAATATCATTGATACATCCTTGAAAAAAATATCTTGATGGGGCACAAATCTCGATGAAAAATCAAGTTGGAAACTTCCGAATTTAAAATTGGGGCCATCCAAACTTAGATTTCAGCAAACTTATAGTCAAATTGAACGTCTAGGAAATAAGAACCCAATGACACCAAATTCGACTCAATCTGAGCCCCATGAGTCCAAATCAGAGACCCGAAGAGCTATTGGATGGTTCAAACCACAATTTGGATACCAAACGGTTTCCAAATGTGACATACTTATAGTTGAATCGAGCGGCTCGAAGAGACAAATCTAACGAGTCCAAGATCACGAAATTCTGACGTCATTAAGACCTTCAAATGTCTGACGAATGGTCCATGATCAAAGAATTCAACATCAGACGTCCATGCAAACCACTCCCCATTTGCTATTGATCTTCCACCTATTTACGGGTCATGCTACTCTAGGAAATCTATAAATAGACCCCCATTTTCTCTTGAAAAGGAACACTAAGCCTAAGGAGAAAAGAGAAAGATTGGAGATCGCTCTTGCCTCCTCGACCACCACCTAGAGTGTCGCCGGTCCACCACCTGAGGCTCGGAGTTCTGCAGAACCACCACCTAATGCCTGGAGTTCTGCTGAATCACCACATGAAGCCCGAAGTTCTGCCGGACCACCACCTGACACCCGGAGTTCTGCCGGACCACCACCTGCCTCCTGGAGTTCTGTCGGACCACCACTTGAGGCCCAGACTTCTACCAGACCACCACTTGACGCTCGGAGTTCTGCCTGACCATCACCTAAGGCTCGGACTTCTACTGGACCACCAGCTAACACCCGGAGTTCTATCGTAGTACAACACTACTATTACAGTCTTTCTGACCCCAGTCTCCTACCGACTACAGTCTTTTCGACCTTCGTCACCTACTACGGTCGTTCCAACATATCCATCACCTGACAACGATCTTTTTGACCCCATTCTCCTGTCAACTACGATTTTTCGGACCCTTGTCTCATACTGACTACGGTCCTTCCGACCTTCGTCATCTACTACGGTCTTTTGACCTATATCGCCAGACAACATACTTTTTGACCCCGGTCTACTGCCGATTATGGTCCTTCCGACATCCGTCGTTACAAAATGGTTTTTCTTACCCCAGTCTTCTGCCGACTGCGGTCCTTTCGACCTCCCTCACCAGACAACGGTCTTTCTAGCTCATGTCTCCTACAGACTACAGTCCTTCCGACCTCCAACACCTACTACTTTGTTTTTGACCTCTATCCTATCGACTATGGTCCTGCCGATCAAGCAAACATGTCTATGTTGATTATTGTAACTCCCACCATGTAATGCACTCTATATGATGTACATTTGTGACAATAAGCCAAGGCCTTCTCCCAAGGAAGGACCTCATTTGTAATCGACTGCAAATACTAGTAGATTCATTCAAACTAGGCCAGACCCCATGGTTTTTCCCATTTTTCAGGGGTTTCCACATAAAAACTCTAGGGCCTCTTATGAGCTCTTTGCTATCTCTTTCATATGATTGTGCGCTGGATCTTCATACAATGCTAAGACGTTAAACTATGTATTTCTCTACCGCCGCGAATATTCCCGGACTCAACATTCATATATAGTACTAATTTCATCATAAATTTAAAATTAAAGAGGCCATTAAGATGTGAAATCTTTTAGACTATCCTCACGCAAATTTTTTATTTTTTTTAAAGCTTTAATGTATAATGATAATATAAATGACAATATTTAAGAAAATAAAATAAACTAATACAAAGACTACAACCCTGCGAATTATACATGTAGTTAGTGAGTGGTAGACTATGACATTTTGAAATAAACCGAAGACATACATGAAAGCCATCTGATTTAAATGAAATGGTTCAAAATTAAAGTCAATATAAAATTCAGTGTAGAGCTAGCTAATATTCGTAATTATTGTGATATAACTGTTATGCAGCTCGTCTTGTATTGTTAGTTGAGAGTTTTGACTATCGAATAAAAGTTTTTGAATTTGAAGCTTACATATACGATCGATATGTTATTTATAGATTTTAACTAGGATTTGAACAATTCATCGAGTATTATCATAAATAAATCTCAAATAATATATATTATTTTTAAAGTACATATGATATATGAAAAAATATAAAATAAATCATAGAATAAGTAATTAAATCATCATTAATGAGTATTTTATTTGGCTCTTAGACTTTGTTTGGGACAATTTTCTTTCTGCTTTCTAAAACGTCTTTCTAATATAAATATTTTTTGAACTAAACAATTTTGTATTAGAAGTTAAGTTTAGGATTTAAATTATTTAGACTTAAATTGGATCGAAAGAAGTATTAATTTAGCTTTACATGATAAAACACTATGTATTATTAAATTATTTACACTAAAATTGGGTAAAAATATATTGAGATTATCTTTTTTCATAATTTTATAAAGGTTTTTTTTTTAAAAAAAATTAAATGGTTATTTAACACTTGTATTAATTCGACTTTACTTAATTTGAAGCTTATGTATTGTTTATCAAGTAATACAATTTGTAGAAGCCTCGTATGACTTCATCATGACACGAGTAGTTTTTATAATTTATAGTTTATAATATGATGGATAATTAGACATTAGAACTATTAAATATTCTTATTTGCATTAATAATATCATTATGGGGCTTGCATCATAGTTTTTGAGTTTTGAAGTACATTTTTATGACTTGTAGACATATTTGCTTAATAAACTCTGCAGTACTCTTATGTAAGAGTTTTTAATTGGCCGCTTAGCTGGTAAGGTTTTTTGCTTATTACTATGCGTAATTTTACTGGTATTTTTTAGAAAGCTGATTTATAAAATAATAATAAAAAAATTCCAAACGAGGTCTTATTATTATTAATCATGAGCCACCGAACTATAAAGATTCATTCATAACTTTTTTTTTTGCGTGGAGAAAGTTCATTTATCATCTTAATATTATAACTATAACTGCAGAAAACTGTCGGAAAGCCGTCAGAAAATTGACCACCGAAAAGTCGTCGAAAATTCCACCGATATATAGATGATTTTCATGTAGTGGTTGGTAACAATTGTTTGAGTTGCAATTCGAGTGATCCAAGTTTTTATCGTGTAGATGTGGTATGTCAGTTCTTGTCTAGAAGTAATTGGCATACATTTCTAAACTCATCTGATCATCTAATCATCTACTCCTTGTGAGATGTCTTACACATACATAAACATTAATAACACAAAAGGATTTGGAAATTCATGATTAAAATTACAATAGACTTACACATACATAAACACCAACCTTCTCACAAACTCAAAATACACAAAATCATTGAAATTCTTCATGAATATTATATAATGCATGCATGAAGCTTCGAAGTGAATAAATTAACAACATAACAATGATTTTAAGCCTCCCATGTCTGAAAATGCCATTGACAAAATCATAGTACGTACCCTTCGTACAAAGTTAAGGTCTTCTTCTCGAGGCCTTCCTAAAACATCAACGTTTACTAAGCATGTTCCACAAAATTCTGATTAACCCACAAAGGTCTTTTCAACTAATCCGAGCCAGTGGCATTAGGAGCTGAAGCGGGATCCCAACCAAGGGTAGGAACACCAGCAGGAGGCAAATCACTTTCTGCAACTGGAGCCGCAGCAGCATCCCAATCAGCTTGAAAAGAAGTCCACTCAACCCCAGCAGCTGGTGCAACCAAGCTAGGCATTGCTTCCACATCAGGAGCATCATTTGCAAAATCACTAGGCCATTGTTCAGAAGGCATGATACCACCATATTCAACTACAGCACCATAATCAGGGGCAACAGAGGCCTCTCTTTCTTCTTGTTGCTCCTTAGCTTCCTCAGGATCTCTGTGAAAGAAGAGATCAACCATAACATCCCACTTGTGTCCTGGAGCTATAGTACCACGCATCTGGAGGACCATCCTTGCCAACAACCAGAAGAGACAACCTATACTGTGTTTCCCCTTGTTGTTACCAGGAATTCCAATATCAACAAATCGCAATTGTGAATCAGTATCACAAAAGGCAATCGTTGGAATATTTCCCAGAGCAGATTCCTTTATTGGCTGGTGATCAGTCCTTGGATCAGCAAGAATAAGCAGACGAGGTTCACTAAAGGATGTTTGAAGCTGGTTAGTGAAAGTTCCAGGGGTATGCCTCCCAGCAATAGGGTGAGCTCCAGTGTATTGGGCAAACTTCAAGACAGCCCTTTGACCATACGGCCTAGCAGACTGGACAATTATGTCTTGAGGATTTTCGATGGCAACAATTACTCTAGCTGCAAGCTGTAACTTCTCCCAAGTTTTTCCAAGATTAATAATGTATATCCCGTCAGTCCGACGCTTAAAAACATATCTTTCCATCTGGAAGTGGCAGTTCTTGGTTCCGAGGTGCACATGGGCAGCCAACATCATCTGGATGTCTTGCTCCTTCTGAGAGAGCACCCTTGTCGCCATCTCAGAAAAATTTGAGCTAAGTTAGGGTTAGGGATTCGGAGGTCGCAAGGGATTTGGAGGTCGGAGGTCGCAAGGGAAATATTTGAACAGCGGCCAAACTCCAAGGCCTTCCTTAATAGAAATAAATCTCAAATAATATATATTTCCAAAGGCTGTAGTGAGGGTGAAAGGGCTCGAAGAAACCGATGGGAGAGAAGAGGAGTTCGAAAAGAGATGGGGTTACAATAAGAGCGAGAGGAGGAGGAGGCTAATATATATAGAAGCACTGCAAGGGTTGGAGCTGGTCGTGAGGGATGACAGGTAGCAAAAACCATTGAGAACGGCCGTAGACATTGTGCGAGGGACCGAATACTTCGCCCCTATATTATACTATTTCTTTATATCTACTGGTCTTTCGCACCTTACTCGAATTCTGACACCCGCTTGCAAAGCTAAATATGGTGAAGTGGAGATAACAGAGGCTATTTTTGTGCAAGTTTTTAATGGTAATATTTTTTTTAATATATATATAATATATTTAATTTAATAATCTTACGGTCAATGTTGGACTGCTGCTATTTTTGTGCAAGTTCAAGTTGGAAAATAATTTAATTTATTCTTAATAGGCCTCCGTCCTTTTGCTTTTGTGAAGGAGAAGTTTGATTCTGTTTCAGGGATTTTTGGAAATAACTAAATAACTGTTTGCTATTTTCTTCAAAATACATAAATTAAAAGTTTCTAATCATGCTAAATAAAGAGATCTATTTACTATTTTAATGAAATTCAATGATAAAAATAGGATCCCCTAATCGTTTTTTCTCTAAATAAAATTATATTTATTGATGCGTCGTCACAAAATTATCTTGATCGGGCACAAATCTCAAGGCAAAAAACTAGTTGGAAACATAAAATCCCAGAGGACATGAACTCCGATTTCAGCGAGCTTACAGTCAAACTGAGCGTCTTGGAAATATAAACCCAATGACACCAAATTCAACCCAATCTGAGCCCAAATGGGTCCGAATCAAGGACCCGAAGCGCTGTTGGAAGGTTCAAACCACAATTAGAGTTACCAA